TCATCTTATAGGAATTTGGTATCCTATTACTTGAATTCTAAATAAAATACTTATCTCTTCTTTCTACGACTTTTATTTCATGATATAATCAGTTTTTTATTATCTTTATGGAAAGATTCATTCATTTTAAAACAAATAGTATCATAAAGTTCTCACACAAAAAAATATTATTGAAAGACCCAACATGATGGATATAATTTATGACCATTGATTGCGATGCATACATAATTTGTTTGGTATTTATCTACTTTTGGATACAAAAAGTCTAAAAATTTATTCAACAAAAGACACATTTTTTCTAAAAATTTTATACCTTTGGTGTTTGGTAAACGAAATAATTGTTTTAACAGAACTCTTTAATGTCTTTTATACATTTTTTCAAACTACTATGAAATTGAACATGGCTTTGGATACTACAACTAAAGATGTGAAATACCTATTGCATTAAAAAGAGTAACCAAATACAATATCTTCTTTCCATGCACATTTATTTTTTTCCTAGATGCTTTTATTATTAAGTGTTGTCCAGCCATATTTAATCTATTCTATTTGAAAGGCATGATTATCTATATTTTTAAGAATCGTTTTTGTTGCTAATCATATGGGTCGTTGTCCATACGGTATGGTCCATACCATGAAACTCATTTCAGTTCGTAGGCCACGCAAGCATTTTTGGTCATGGTGTCATGACATGTGACATGACATTGTGCCTTAAAGGGCCCACATGTTTTACTACAGAGTTTTAAAAGATTTTTAAATTTTTAAAGTGTTATTTTATTATATCTCTTAAAGCATTCTGGAAAATATTTCCAATTTTGGTGTATTGGTAGGATATAACAGTGCATATTTTAGATATAATAGTTGTTCTATTGCTTTACCAGTGGCGTCTCTGCACACATTTTTTACAAAAAAAGTGGTACCCCACTTGCCATTTACATTAAAACAAATGAAGTTAAATTGCTTCATTTAGCAGTATAACACCAGATCAACCAAATGCTGTTTCCTAAGTAATTTGATGCCCTGAATTCGAATCTGTAGTCGGGTCTACTACACTTTGGTGGATAGCATTTTTTGACAACCTGGATGAGTTGGTTGAATGAAAAATTTAAGAAAAAAAAACGTTAATAAGCAAGCCTGTCAGCACAATTTAAAATATTGAGCGTAGGAAATTTCTTTTTCAATATCTTTGGGGATGAGTTGAGCGTTCACTGTTACTGTTTATTTCCTAACACTCTGTATACCAAATGAGTTTTGCATCCTATAGCGAAATTTGAATCACATTCCAGTACAGTTTGTGATCTAAATGAGAAATCTCATCTCCAATTTCATCATTGCATCATTATCTTCCATCATTTCCTTACCAGACATCATAAACAATATTAATGTTACAAAAACTACTACTTTTAAAAACATCGCAATAAAGAGTTTATTATATACTATAAAATAACAAATTACTATTTATTCGTCCACATACGTCGCATGTAGGTACCTACGTAGTTCGTACGGACGGCAATTTCACGGCTATTCAGAATATTTTTTAATGGGTGTTTTTTTATTTATTGTTACATTGTGACCGTGACAGGACACTTCGACATTGAACACGGCACCGCGGCGGTTTTAGAAACGTAGAAGCGTTACGGCGACGGGAGGAGGGGAGAGGGGGGACACAGAGGTCCACACGGACCCAATCCATTCCAATTTGGTTTATTATTATTTTTTAAGGGGGCAACGTCTGAACAACGCTGGCCTCGCCGAGGCGGCACTTTTGAAGCGAGCCGCTGCATTCATCGAGATTGTCCGGCGAATGCGGCGTTGCCGATAGCGCAAGCATTTATACCATTAACTGCCAAGACATGGAATTTATTTATTTATTAAAAAGTGTAATATGTAAATTGTCCTTAAGTTTGGCATCATATAAGCAAATAAGACGGCAGACAGACAAAATGTCCAACTGGAGTTAGTCTTCAGACTAAACAAGACTAAATAGAACAAGATTAGACTAGACAATGCTAAACCAGGCAAGTCAATATTGTAGAGGACTGGATAAGACTAGACCACTACACATTGTGTAGTACACAATGCAAAAATAGACAAGAAAAGATTTAATACACTGAACTGACTTACTAGTCTTACTAATCTACAATTTTTTAAAGTTTAAACTTTTATCACCTAAATTTTGGTGCTTGACTTAATTATTATGTATTTTCGTACATTTACAAAAACTCCGATACTTTCTAAGCACTTAAGAAAAATTCCCCAAATCAGCGGTAAATTTATACACTTGGCAACAGCGCGTTGGTCCCTGGAAATGCGGCAGCGACGAAGGCGACTTGATCGCAAGCACCCGCGGACAGGGGCGGAGCTTTCCCACAGTCGCGAGCGTGACGCGTTCGGGCACGTGTGTCATCTTAGTTGGCCGCGGGCGATGCCTGACTCCTTACTGGTCCAGCGCCAGGTTGCCAAGTCCTACAAAATTCTTGGTTTTAGGGGAAATATGCTTTTTCTCTATTATACAAATAGTTGCAAGCTTGAGAGGAAATAGGTGAAATTGTTCTGGGTATTTTTATGTGGCTTTATTAGTACACGGTTCTTTTCAATTTTGACATTTTTTTATATTATAACAGATTTTTTGTCAAAGCTATTATATATACACTTTTATAAATATCAGATTTGTTAACATGAGTTTGTAGTTTGATCATTTTATTTTGTAAAATTTTAACATAACTATTTGTAGAAGCCCTGGTTTTGTAATTATTTTAACAAAGAAAGTTTTGTAAATGTAATACGCAATTTTGTAAGGATTTTGTTAATTTCAAAGGTTATAGATTATTTTGTTAATGTTTAACAAATTATTTCGTTGAAAAATTACATGATATCAGGCAGTCAATCAAAACATTTCCCACTGACAATATGCATCAACAGGTCCAACTGACTTCAACGTCTGCAACTTATGTTTCTGCTTACTTTATTCTAATTCGTAACGTGTTCGTAACAACTGTCCAGAGTATTTATAATATAATACCATTAATCCGTTATTATTCTTATTCGGATTTCTTATACATATTTAACAAGTGTGCGAAGTGCGAAATATCCGAAAAAAGATGCCATCAGTGGTTTTCAAAATAAAATTAGAGGATACAGTGAAGCGGGCTTAAGTGTGTAGTTGTATTGTACCAAATTTCTGTAGGGATGTGTTAATTTATTTGGGAAATTGATTTACTTTATTTTAATCAATTTCCTAAACAAAAAAAATTAACAATACCTACAGAAATTTCTTTCTTATCAAAATTCTTTTCATTTAAGTTCCCAATTTCCAACAAATACTTTTGCTACTGGGTCTACAAAAAGTTTTGTAAAAATTAGGTCCGTTTTGAAAAGTACAAGAATTATGGTTGAATTATTGACATAGAATTTTGTTATTAAATATACAAAAAATCTGTTATTATTACTAACTACTCAATTGGTTAATATATTACAGTTGGTTGTAAACTTCAAATTTTGATAGTATTTTGTAAAATTTAACAAATATTTTTTATTGTGTATCTTCTTAATTATTTAGTTATGTTTTTCTTTCTTTAATTTGGATTCCAACTAAGTATAGGTAAGTATACTTATAGTTAGTATTCATATTTTAAAAAACCAAAGTAATTAAAAATATTTTAAAAAACAAAAACGAGTTATTAAATTACTATTGATTTAAGTTTTTCTTTGATTACTTCTTACTTTTTAAAATTTCGCAGATTTAAGCTGCGTATACACTTGGCGAACCCATACGGTCTCACGGTTAAAGACGAATATTTGGCTAGTGCTTTCGTTTACATCAAAAACACTGAGATGTGATCAAAGAAGGGGTTGTGCATAAGTTTAAAAAAAAAATTTCAAAAATTGTTTGTTAAATTTGGCAACAATGTGTAGACACACACACACACAGTGTAACCACCCACCTGTGTATGTATGTAAGCTTAGAATATAGCGAGTGTCGGCGACTGGCACAGGTTGCAGCAGCGGTGTATGTGTGTATGCTACAAACATCGCATACCGTTCCACTACAGAACAGGATTTAGGAAAAACAGCATTTTTACGCATCAATTAAAGTCCAGATACTAACTTTAAAAAATGTCTATACTTTATTATTATTAATCATGTAGCTTTATATTTTACCAATGCAGTAAACTAATTTTTATTTCATATAATCAAGGTTATAGTCTTAGAGTTGGGGTGCAGTTTCTTTATTGTATTATAGTTTAATGTAACATATTTTGTTATAAATTTATTAATAAAATTACAATTATATGACTAATTTCACGTATAACTATGTTACATTTATCACGTATTAAAAAGTTAACATATTCATAAGTACTTATTAAGATAAAATTTAATTCATGTACATTAAATTTAAATTAATCAAACCTTGTGGAGTTTTTTTCAGTTTTGATAAAACTGGTTTGCAAACATGTTTTTGATCTATCAATATCATAGAACTTTTTTTACCACCTAATGCAGATTTAAAAGAATTTGCTGGTTGCAACATTCTTCGGATGAAAGTACCTAAACTGTTCTTATAAACATAAGTATGGAAAAAAGGAACGTTAAATATCTCTTCCTGTAATTTATGTTCAAGGTATTTTTCCTAATTATCGATTTCGTTTACACAGTATAGAATAACCCAAATATCTACCTTACACACCTATCATTAAGTGGCATAATAAAGCCGACGCATTTTTAAGCCGACCGATCTGTAAGGAATACCAATAAATACCCTAAATAGCAGCGATATTTCACTACGTAATTTCCTTTATCACAATTAATAACCACCCTGTCCGCACTGGAAACCATCAAAAGCTTTATTTATTACTTTTGTCTCTCGAACAGGTAGTTGTAATAATTAGCCGAACCGGCTCTGTCGAATTACGATCGTTGCCGAATCGCCATGGGAACTTCCCGACGGAGTCATCTCACATCCATCCCCACCACTCCGGTGATGCTGAGTGGTAGTAGTGTACCAGGCAAAAACACTCAGAAGCGACATTAAGCTCGCAGACCCCGCAAGGCACGGTACGCACACAGAGCAGTACAGTACGCAGTGACGGTGACGTGCTTCAAGTGATTTATAAATTTGTGACATATCGGATTATTATCAACCAACCATGGTGACCACCACAACAGTTCTTCAGCAAAATGCCATATCCAGTGCGATTGCTCCAAACGCCACGGTGGAATCAACCACCGCGACCACAAGAAGAGTCAGCGACAATAGACGCGTAAGTAACTTAATAGTATTAAGTTAATACTCAACACAAATTAAAAGACAATGCTGGTGCGGTGCCAAGCAAGGCACGTGCCAGCATTGAGTAACAATGCTGATCTATTATTAGACCTGCAGCGCTTTCCCACGCTCATACACCGCTGTAGCAATTTATTCTAACTGACCTTTCTCTTTTACAGAGCAATAAGCCAATTATGGAAAAAAGGCGCAGGGCCCGAATCAACAATTGTCTCAACGAACTCAAAACACTCATACTAGATGCCATGAAAAAAGACGTAAGTTACCCTTAATTGGTTGAATCTTAAAACAACCTTTACATCATCACCTGATTTCTAATTGAAATTTCTTTATTTCAGCCAGCCCGTCACTCAAAATTGGAAAAGGCCGACATCCTCGAAATGACAGTAAAGCACCTCCAAAACCTCCAAAGGCAACAAGTGGCCATGTCCGCGGCCGCCGATCCATCCGTGGTGAACAAATTCCGCGCCGGATTCAGCGAGTGCGCCAGCGAAGTGGGGCGATTCCCCGGTCTGGACCCCATCATCAAACGCCGTCTTTTGCAGCACCTCGCAAGCTGCCTCAACCAAGGCGGCAAACCCCAGGAAGTTCCCCAAGTTCAAGTGCACATCCTACCGAACAAGCCCGATCCGCAGGTGGTTCCTCAAAGCAGTGGGATTATCTTCAGCAACGGAAACGGCACCGGGGTCCAGTTGGTGCCCACGAGGCTTCCCAACGGCGATATCGCCCTGGTGCTGCCCACGAATGTGTCGCAAGGAAGTCCCCAACACATGAACTCCCCCGTTCCCTTGTTGGTGCCAATCTTGCCCGATAGATCTCCGTCAGTGCATTCGGCAACGAGCAGTACGTCGAATTATTCGCCAAGTCATAGTCCCGAGCCTATGGACACCATGTACTGTCAGCCTAAACCTTTGTCCTTGGTAGTGCGGAAATCCGCGGATCCTGTGGAGGATGACAAACCCTGGAGACCGTGGTAGATTAGCGTTTCAAGGACGATGTAAATAAACGTGTTGTGATATATTGAAGGATATTCAGTATTAATGTTATTATTTTGAATTCTTCTAGAAGCCATATGTAATAGGTGTAAATTGTATATAAATCCTGAAATGGTCACGGAACAGTGCAAATAATTAATAATGCATCCTAGATGATTGAATCGTACGATTCAAAAGCTGTGAATAGATTTGTACATATTTTTTAAGAGAGTTTTATTTGGATAGATATTTAATTATTTAGATTTTAATGTGCCTTATCGACAGCAAGATCTAATATGTCTTCCATGTTGAGTACTATATATAACATAGTATATTTACTGTGCTAATATACAATTATTTTAAATATTTTGAATGTATTGTATTATTTCCTACCTACTCCTTATTATAAAACTACGCGTGGCCGGGGATTAAACGAGATTCTTTCTCGATAGGCGTTAAGACCTAGTTAAAAAGCATTGGGCCGAACCACCTACTAAATATATTAATAACATTTAAGGTTGTAAACTATTATTATTCAAATTAAAATAGCCGTAACGTCAGAGGCAGGTAGGTTGAAGGTTTGCCAAAGGATTTTACTGCAACTTTAATGGCTAGGTAGACAAACATAGGTATAAATAATATAATCCACAACATTAATACACAAAAAGGAAATAATTAGAATACTAAAATTCCAGGCAAGGTGACTAGATATCCTTGAAAAAGAAATTCCAATCTTATGTATATACATATATGCAAATCCCAGTTAAAATTTGGTTTTACTTTTTTACGAAACTACCTAATTTACAGTCTACATAGATAGATACTCGCATACAAGGTCTGTTTCGTGAAAGCGAATTTCAAAATGCAGTCGGCAAAAATCAAAACAATGCTAATCGTGCTGTTATAATTCTATTACTATTATTCACACAAGAATTCGTTTCCTAAGGCTGCCGCTGTCAATGCAGGGTCTCATTAGGTAGCAACGGGTTAAACGTTAATTTTACGCCGACACGTTTTGGGTTTCCCATGAAATGGATTAAAAAGTTGTTTTCGCAACAAAGGTTTTAATTTTACTGGTATGCCTATTTTTTTTACTGATATGCATGTAATAAATATTCATGGCCTAACATTAAAATTATGTTAAAATAACAAACATTATGCATTTTATTTATTATAGTTTTTATCTACTCCTGTATATTAAAAAAAAATTCTACTCCCACCTTTAAAACACCCATTTATTGTACATCTTTACATGACACTAGTTTGCTTTAAGTTAGTTGACAGTTGTCGAATGTCATACAATCGTTAAAAGAAAGTGCCCTTGTGAAATAATACTAAATGTGAAAATTATTATGTTATCTTAATACACAAAAGTATTAAATAGTTTCTCAACCCCAATTTTTTAAAACTTTATATGAACATTTTGCTGACCTTTTAATTTCGCCGGCAGTAAACTAGATTTAACTTTATTTTGGGTGGAGACTCCAATCCTGGCGTACCAATAAAACATTTTCTTTACTTTCACTGTAAAAAACTGCTGTGCTGTATGTACGGTATACAGACTGTGGTACTGTACTTCCTTATTTATCAAATTGAGTGACGCGTCAGGGTTAACAGTGGTTTAGTAATTAGCTTACATCTTTCATAAATATTAACCAATTTAAAAAACCAAACATGATTTTAAACCACAATTTGATGCTGCACATCATGGCTAGGGTTTTAAAATTTTCGGAAAAATTGAGCCGGCGGGAAAAAACGGAAAAATTAAAAAATTTTCAGAAAAATTTATTTTTTAATTTTTTAAATTTTTTTCAAAGGGTAATACGAAAAAATGCAAAACTAATTTTTTCTGAAAATTTACAAATTTTTAGGGATAATATCCGTACACTGATATCGAGAAAATAGTAAATTTCCGACGCTGATTATAATCATAATAATATGATTATAATAATTATTTCTTTTATTTTATTTCAGTAAGAATATTCTACCGGGCCTGCTAAAAAACCTATTCGGTGCTGTATTAACATAACTTTATTTGACACTTCGATTTATAAAATTATACTTATACTTATACTAAGTCTTATACTATATACTTTTATATATTTAATCTTTGATTTAACTTTATAAATCATTCATTATTGTGAAGTTGGATATTTTTAATGGACTCCTTTTTGCAAAAAGACCTAACCGACAGTATATTTAATGCGTTTATTTTCCAAAATCAATTTAATTTAATTTTTAGTTCAGTTTAGTTTAGTTTTATTTTTTTTTTAATTAAAATAATCTTAATGTTAAGATGTTTATTTCTATAGAAGTATACTTTTTTCAAATATGTATATTTTCAATTTTCCCAAAAAAACAAGGCCTGGGAAAAACGAAAAAAATTAGGTTTTTCTCCAATTTTTCCTTTTTTTCGACACTTTAAAACCCTAATCATGGCAAATAATATTTTTATATTTCTATATAAAAAACTTAACCTAAGTTTTTTTTTTAAACTTCAAGCTAACTCATAACTTAAATGTCTTTTATAATATACTATGATAGAGTAGTTTTATAATTTAACGTTTTTTATTAAGTTTTTTTTTAATTTAACCATGTAGGATATGATTACCATACCTACATACTTATGTATCTATGTGTTTCAAGTAGGCATGCCTTTATTATTTATGCATCATTAATATAGGTCATATGATACGTTATCCTATTCATCCACCCAACATATAAAAAAAATACTGAATAAAAAGTACGAGGGGGATCCAAAAAAGGAAATCAACAAATGATTTTGGTAAATTCATTTTACCAATTCACCTAAATCGGCGCTAAATATTTGGAATCCACGCCTTTTATCACAGATTAATCAATAGTATGTATGTTGTCCGCGAGCTCTTTGCGTGTAGTGGTGATTTAATAATGTTTTAATATATTGTTTACTGGGAAAGTTTCCTTAAAATGGGCACTATTAATCACATTCGGCCTATTTAGTTTGCCAGGGACGGACTAGCTCTAACAGAGTAATGCTATTTTTTTAACACCCTGTACTATAAAGGCACAACATTAATATTTTTTGTCAGCTTAAACCTTAAACTAAAAAAAGTTACTCCTGAACGATATTGATAAAATTTACTGTTTACGAAAAAAAATGTTTTTGTACAGGGTGTTTTCTTATAAATGGGACACCCCTATAAAATCTGTTTTAGAAGAGATATTGAAAAAAATTAAATCCAGCTTGTCTGGTTTAAAAAAGTAATTTTTTTGGCAAAAATTCTTAAACAAAAAAGCATCGGCATGGCGTAATAATAAAAACATGGTTATTTTCATAAGTAAGTTCTTTATCCTTGGCAACTATGATTTTTACGTTAAAATAAGCCAGGTTTTTGGTTCAATTATTAATAAAATGTTTAATTTAAACATATCCCAATTATATATTTTTAAAATTAGAATAAAAAACTCTATCTAAATATTCAAAAATATGCAGGGTGTTCCATTGTAAAAAAGATGCCATCACTGGTGTTCAAACTGAAATACTGTGAAGTGGGTTAAAGTTTCGAAATACATCAGTATGTGTTGTAGTAGTACTGATAGTTATATTGTACCAAATTTCTTTATAATTTTATGATTTCAGAATGTTGTGTTATTTAATTGTATGTATTTTATTTTCCTGTTCATTTATGTAGGTACATATTTGCTATTTTTTTTTGGAAACTTAACAGTTATGTAGACCTGGATTAACATAAAATCTGGTTAATATTTGGTTAAAATTAACACATACATATTTTTTTAACTGTGAAGGATAAGTAAATAAACAAATATTAATAATGATTATATTAACTAATATATGAGGAGGTCCATTCCAAAATTCGGCTTATCCAATTTTTAATAAAAATGAGTTAGTGGTGTCTGTACATTTAACATGTATCCCCCTATACCCTGAAAAATTTATAATATTCTAAAACTCACCTTATTCCATTTAATTCGTTCCAAAACTTGCCTTATCTATTTGTTATATTATGCAGAACTCGGCATATACATACGTATGTAATTTTAAATTATTTTAAATTGGAGCTTTACCTTTTTAATCAAGGTATATAAATGTTTTACTTATGCCTATATATTTCGTTTAAATTATTGTGTTGGCCTGATATGCGTTAGTACTCACGTGTAAGGTTTTTGACATTTTGCTCAAAAACAACTAATATGGATAAGCCGAGTTTTGGAATGCACCTCCTCATATAAGAATCAGGTTTCCCTTTTATCCTGCAAAATTAAATATTTGATACATAAATACAAAAACGTATTTTGATTTTGAGTTTTAAAAGCTCGACAACACTGTATTATCAATGTATTGTATATTACACAATGTATAATATACAGTGCAGTAAGTATAATATACATCTTTAAATAGTCATAACTTAATTTTTTTTATTTTTGGGTCGTCATTAGAAAATAAATATCTTGAAAACTATTTGTCATAAAATTTTGTTGTAATAATCCTCTTCTATAAATTGATATACCATTAGTGCGGCATTTTAGGGACACCCTGAATACCTTGTATATTGTGTTTTATTGTGCATCTAACATATTTTCATTTAAAATTAAAAAAATAGGCATACTTTGAAAATAAGTGTATATTTTTTACAAATTATTTTTTTAACAATTACACCAAATTTTAGAAACAAAATTATTTTAAAACTAATGTTTACAATAAAACTAATATTTATAGTAAATGTAAAATTGTTTATCAAAAATAAATGAATTTAATAGTCTTTTTAAAAATCGAATCAAACATTAAGTAACTAAAACAAAACCTTCTGACTTTTGGGGCTCCCCCCGTACCTCTACATTTCCTCGTGTCTATCAAGTTAGCTTGGCTATCTTATTATAAGCGCGGTATGCGTGTGCGTAAATGCGCGGCGGCGCGTCTCAGTTGGCGACGGTCGTGCATGTGGTTGCCGACACCGACACGCTTGCCTCATCGAGTGGGCGCGTGTGCGCCCCACACTCGCGCCGATTTTATCCGTCGACAACGAGGAGTCGGTCATGTGTTGTGCGATTTTTTTTAATGCCAAGGAAATTTATAATTATCGTGGCGTCAAAAAATCTACGTAGGATACCTACGACGCGATTGAAATGCCAGGACTTTCCTACTTTTAGAACCGTCGTTGATTTCACTTGGCATATTTTTAAAACCTTTTATGAATTTCATAAAGGTATTCTCTTCAAAATATTGACAATCTAATTTAGTAGATACTTAACGTATTTTTTACTAGGTCCAGAGAACATTTTAAATTGTACTTTTTGTACTTCTACTACTTTTGTAATATTTTATTATTTTTATTACCACATTAACATATTGGCATTACATTTTTTCTATAA